AAAAAAAAAAAAGAAAAATATGTGTAATATCATTGGTCATTCAAGAGATGCAAGTTAAAATGATACTGAGATTTCAGCTCACTCCAAAAAGAATGGCTATCATCACGAAATCAATAACAAATTCCGGCAGGGCTATGGCGTGAAAGGAATCTTTCTCCAGTTTTGGTGGGAGTGTAGGCTCGTGCATCCACCATGGAAATCAGTGTGGAGATTCCTCACAAAACTAAAACATGAAGTTTCATTTGATGCAGCTTTTCCCTCCCAAAAGAATTAAAAGCATTCATCATACCACAGCAACATATGAACACCCAGGTCTATAGTGGCATAGTTTGTAATAGCTAAGTCTTAGAAACAGCCCAAAAGTCCATCAGCCAATGAACTGATAATGAAGATGTGTGGTTTTTAAAAAATACAACAGAGTACTACTCTGCCATGAAGAAGGATAAACTGGAGACAATTCTAGGTAAATGGATGCGCCTTAAGACCATACTCTTAAAGGAAATAAATCTGACATCCTTGTTGTTAGCTAGTGGTCTTCCTTAGTTATGAGCTCTGAAATTTAAATATTGCATTGTTTTTCTGGTGTTGAGGAACTGAAAAGGTAAATAAAGACCAAAATGTGTAGTAGATACTGTGAAATAGAAAATTTTCAAAAGGGAGGAGAGCCAGGTGTGGTGGCTCATGCCTATAATGCAGCACTTGGAGGCTGAGACAGTAGCATCATTGTGAGTTCAAGACCAGCCTGGGGTTACAAAGGAGCTCAAGGTCTGCCTGAACTGTATAATTGAGACCCTGTCTCAAAAAGACCAAAAAAAAAAAAAAAAAAAAAAAGGGGGGGGGGGAGAACAAGGGTGAGGGAGGAGGAAAGGAAAGAAAAAAATGGGAACAAAGCTTTGTTTGGGGACAGGATCTTGCTATGCAATTCAGGCTGGTTTGATCTCACTATGTAGCTTAAGATGGAAAAGAAGGGTTGAAGGGAGGCAATTGAGGAAAAAAGAATGAAGAGATATCATGTACAGGTACAAATTCCCTATGATGAATGTTATTACATATATCTAAAATGTACTAATAAAATTAATTTTTTAAAAAAGGTGCCATTCTTGTCTCTCAGAAAATAGAAGTGGGGCAAATACTGCTGCCACCTACCAGCCTTTATTTCCTTCTTTTTCTTTCCAACCAAAGCCCTGTTTTTTTTTTTTTGTTCAGGTTACTGTACACGGCCTTAGGATGCTAGAGAAAAGTTGACCCCACCCTAAACTATACCAGTGAATTTTAACCAGCATTAGTCAGTCTGAGAATGGCATTTCCTAGGTCACTGCCATTGGTCCTGAGAGGGACACATGATCTAAGCTGCCTCACTCACCTGGAGGGAAGAACTTTACTGCAAGGGTCAGTGACAGCCTCTCTTCTTCCTCAGGACATTAGTGCATTTGGATGTAACCTCTCTAGCTGCCATCCTACCACTGGTTTAAGGATCTCCAAAGAGAGCAGCATAAACATTAGATCTTAATGATATTGCTGAACTCCCAAATCAACTCCCACTCTCAGATCTGTTCTACATCTGGACTTGCAGTTATATGAAATAATAATAATAATAATAATAATAATAATAATAATAAACCTAGCTGCCACTTAAGTCAGTTTGATTCAAGGCTTCTATTATTAGTAGCTGAAAACATCTCAACAGGCAAAAGAGTAAAATATACATAAAATAGTCTTGGGGTCTTAAATGTAGAAATAGGAAATAACTGCTATAGGAATAGTCATCAGATCAGGAAATAAAATACATTTCAAAGTATTTTGAAAATACTCTTTAAAAATCTGCTGACAACTAGATCAATCTGTATTAGCTAGGCTGATGATGCTGGTTGAGGGGAAGGGAGAGTGAGATTATAATAGGCAGGAGAGCTCTTTCGAAAGCCAGGCTGTACTGATGCGGAACTGAAGTGTAAAAAACTAGATGTGCCCATAAGCAAGTCAAGATCCAGAGTGACCGGAGCAGGAAGTGCCTCAGGACCCCAAGCCCACAGAGGAAGGAGGGACAGAAAGCTGGATTTGTGGGTTCACAAAGGCTAGCTGCCACCTCTCTCCTCAGTCTTCCAGTGCTATTCCTGGGCTTGAGCCCTCTTTTTTTTCAAATCTCTCTTCACCTTTTTTTGTACATTTACACTCACTCCAATAGCAAATGACTTACAGGACATCTTTATGGAAACGCTACTAGTACCTTGGATCTAGCCCAGCCCAGACTCAGCCCTGGATCTCATCTACTAGGTCATCAAGCTAGGAACTGGGAGTTACCTGAGACTGCTCCTCACCTCAACTCCAACATCTAATTAGTTATCAAGTCTTCCTCTCAACTCTATCTGCCCTTCTGATCATTCTTCCCAGCTACCCTTGCCACCTTTAGCCTTATTAATCTCTCACCACTTGCTGCCAAATTTATTTTAAATGCACACATGACCATGTTCGTCCTCTGATCTCCTTGAATTCTCTTCCCATCTCCCTCACCCCACAACAAAGTCTTGCTGTGTTGCCCAGGCTCAAGTGATTCTCCTGCCCCAGCCCCTGAGAAGCTGGGACTAGAGGCCCCACATCTGGTCACTTCCTTCCTTCTGGGTTCTCTGTCTTCAGCCTTAGCAGTGATAAGCCTGGAATCCTATGCTTCAACCTTGTTGAGCTGCTTGCAGATTTCATGATTCTGGAGGTGCCATAACTCTAGAGCTGGGCATGGTAACACATGCCTATAATCCTAGCTACTTGGGAGGGTGAAGCAGGAGTTTGAGAACAGGCTAGGCAAAATGGGACTCCCCCATCCTAATCCCTCCAAAAACAAAACCAAAACCCAAAAGTTCTACAGGCTGCTAATAGCTCCACGCCTTTGTGTCCACTGTGCTGCTGTCTGGACTACTCTATCCTAGGGGGTTGGGAGTCTACTCACATACCACTCTGACCCTGCTCACATATCTCTTCGATGGCATTTTCCTCAGTCACTTTCACCATATTCTCAGGTAGTACTCAGGCCTCTGACATGTAATCTCTTTTATTATACTTGCTATATCCTTATTCCTCCACTAGACTGTTAAGCAAGGTAAATTAGGGTCTGGGTGTGTTCGGTAAGTCATTTAACCCTGTGCCTGGGATGTAGCAGGTACTGAAATAAATGCATGTTCAATAATTGATATTTTAGTAATAGAAACAACTAGCACTTTTTGATTGTCAGACTGACACCAGACTTTACCAGGAAATTTACCTGTGACTTCCCATTTTATCTTCCCAATCACTATTAAGAGATTCATCCTGTCTCCATTACTGAATAGACAGATTCAGTTTAGTAGATGAGGGAAGTTGCTTGTAGTCAAATTGGAATTCCAACCAGGGTGTGACCTTGATGTCTAAACAGGAAAGGCTATTGTCCCTGCAGACATCAAAAGGAGGCAAGGAGCCATGGGTGGATTTGCATGGGTGGGGTAGGAGAGGTTAGAGGAAAGGAATTTAAAGTCCAGAGGTCAGATCTAAGGGCTGGCCTTCTGAGTGAGAGGCAGGGGGAAGGAGGAACCAAACCCTCAGGGATGAAAACCAGAGCCAAATCAGTAATGTGAGGCTGAATTAATAACTAACTGCAACTATGCGGAACAGTCTGTAGTCCAAGGTACTTCACACTACAGAAAGCTGTGGGTGTTCCCTTGAATTGGCTATGTGTACTGGTCTACATGGGTTAGGCCAAGGAACCATAGGGACCAGAGTCCAGTCTGGGGGACAAGTCCCAGTAACATGGTGGGTAAATGCCACGACCTTCTCTGGGCCACCAGGATGGTGGTGGCTGTCACCTTTGGTTAGGGAAAGGTTTCTTCACAACCCCCACCTCTCAAGTTAATGCAGCTGAGATTTTACAAGAATGAGAGGGTACCGTGGCCTAAAACAGAAATACTTTCTAGATCACAGGTTGAACTTTTCCAGATGTGTGAGCAGGCATCCTATTCCCAGTTCATTGAATATGAGTTTAGTAATAAAATTAAAGGGCTCAGAGAATGTGAGGCTGATGCTCAGATGAGCTAAGCAATGGCTTCCTTATTTACTGTAAAGTGAGCTCAATGAGGCTTTTGGGTGATCACAATGGAGATTTTTGGTCATAGTAAATTTTTACAGAGACATTTCTACCAGCAGTTATAGCAAGTGTCACAATGTGATTTATCAGCAATGCTTTTAATGCACATTAATGAGCACTCAGAGAGTGAAGGGAATGTCAACTCCTGGTCCATCTGCCATATTGCAAACATTAATGTCTCCCTGGAGAGTACACTCTATGCTTTCTTCACAAGGTAGAAACTAAAGCTAAACTCTACAAGCCAGTCTGTTTTGGTTGTTCCTTAGGGATTTATTTGTGTCAGAGAAAGAAAATTCTAATTGAATACAAACTGGGAGAGATCTGGAGAAGACAGAAACTTGGAGTCCTGAACCGCCCTTTGGGACCTGGATGAGAATAGCCCAAATACAGTAGCTTGGACACAGCTGACTTTCTCAGAGCCCTTCCCTGAGAAGTTTGCCAAAATACTTGTTTGATAATTGGTCAGGAGCAGCATTGGCCCTCTACATTGCCTGGTCTCACGGGAAACAGTGCTATCGCCAGATGCTGATTGGCAAGGGACCAAACTATTTCCTCACTTCAAAACTCAAGCCAGCAATGGCCACACAGGAGGATGTGACAAAAGACAGTGTTTATTCCACCTCCATTGAAGCAATGAAGCTCTCTGACAGGCTTTTCCCTCTTCCTAGTATCTTTTCTGGACTCAGAGATATCTACAAGTGGACAAACTCTAGGAACTACATTAGTAAACATTATAGGTAAGAAGGAAGAGAAATCTTAAAAGAGACCCATTAAAAAAAAAAAAGAAGAATACATAAAGAACTAAAAAAAAAAAAGAGAGAGAGACCCATTAGTTGATGACGCCTATCCTTAAAAAGTTTATAATCTAGTCAGAGACAAAATATACACATGAATTCATTGAAAAATAATTTTAATTATCCAAACCTGGGCAAGGGGTTGTTAATCCATATACTTCCAAATTACCAGGTATCCTTACTCATTTTTGTTAGTCTTGATGTGACTTATGATTATATGGCCGGCCCTTTTGAGGTCATGTTAATATTGGTTTCTCTACAGGTACCAGAATGAGCCCCATCTGGATGTGGTGAGTGGTGAATATGGCATTAAAATAAGTATATTTTTAAAAATATAAAATAAAAATAACTCTGCTGAATCCTTAGCTATTAGGGAAATGTAAATCAAAACCACATTAAGCGTCTATGTCACCCCAGTCAGAATGGCTATCATCAAGAATACAAACAAAATAAACAAACAAAAACAATAAATGCTGGTAAGGATGAGGAGGGAGGGCTTTTCCACTGCTGATGGGAATGTAAATTAGTACAGCCACTATGTGTGGAAATTAGTGCATAAGTTCCTTAAAAAGCTAGAGCTACTACACGACTCTGTTATACCATTCCTCAGTATATACACAAAGGAATTAAAGTAAACACACTATAGGGTACTATATATCCATGTTGTGGCACAATTCACACTAGCCAAGTTATAGAACCAGCTGAGATGCCCATCAATAGAGGAGTGATAAAATGTGATCCTATATACAAAATGGAATATTGTTTATACACAAAAATCAAAATTGTTATTTGTAGAAAAATGGATAGAACTAGAAATTATCACAGTAAACAAAATACTCCAGCCTAGAAGACAAGTATCACATTTCTTCCCTAATATGGGGGGAGGGGGAGAGGAGGAGGAAGAGGAGGAGGAGGGGAGGTAGGGGGAGAAAGAAGGGGGAAGAGGGGGGAGGAGGGGGAGAGGAGGAAGAAAAAACAAAAGACCAAAAAGTAAAAGGAGGACTCTTTCTGAAAGAGACACTAGAAACTGACAGTAGTGTCTCCTGGGAAGAAGGTTTCTGGATGGTAAAGAAAGTAGCTCTTTGCCCTCATCTCCTGCATGTGTCTTTATGGCTCATTATGCACCTAAAAATTAAAATGAGAAGGGCAGGGGCAGGGGAGATAGCTCAGTAGAATAAGCACTTGTCTGGCACGTGCAGGGTCCTGAGTTCAATCCCCGGTACTGAAAAAAAAGAAAGAAAGAAAGAAAGAAAGAAAGAAAGAAAGAAAGAAAGCAAGCAAGCAAGCAAGCAAGCAAGCAAGCAAGAAAGTAAAAGGAGACTAGTATTAGATGAGAGGAAGGAATAAGGAGGAGAAAAAAAGGGAATTTAGGGAAGGGCAATGGGAGGATGAGTAGGATGAAAATGTAAACGCATGTATGAAAATACCACACTGAGACCCAATATTTTGTAAAATTAATATGTACTAATAAATGTAAAAAAACAAAAAACCACCTTTGAGCATGATACTATAAATACTGGTCATTATAGATTTTTCCAGACTCAGAGAAGGTACAACATTAGCAGTGAACTGCAGACTTTGGGTGATAATATGTGCTGGGGCTCATCAACTACAACAAATGTACACTCTGGTGGGGGTGTTACTATTGGTGGGGTTTGTGCAATGGGGGCAAGAAATACAGGGGACTTCTCTGTACCTTCTGCTCAGTTATGTAGTGAAACTAAAACTGTTCTAAAACATAAAGTCTATTTAAAAAATAAAAACAACTCAGTGATGAGAATGTTCCAGAACTTACTTTGCAAATTTAATGCAGAACTGAGTAAAGTATTTGCGTGTGGAAGCCAAGTTGTCTCGGATGATGGGGACATTCTGCTTAATGTGAAGAATAACAGAGGTGACATAGGGGCTCTGGTCACCAACGTGCTCCACATTCTGCCACTGCATCTGAAATAGAGATAGGGCAGGAACAGGCTTTAGACCCTTCACAGGAGAACTTATTATCTATTACTAGATAAGGAAAAGGGTATAGTGGAAATTAGGTTACTGATTGGTATCACAGAAATGGGCCCCTTTGGCTTTAAGGAATTTTTCCTACCCATTCTGTAACAGTGGCTCATCATAAATGAAAAGCAGCAGCCCCACCCTTGACTTGACAGAGTAGACTTGGGCAGCTTTCCTTTTGCTATAGGTCTCCATCATCCTTTCAAGAGCTTTCCTTTCCCATCTAAGTTGCTGTCTTGTAATGGGACCCTCATTAAGTAGAACAATGAAGATTCTATTCTGTCAACTGTTCTACCAACAGGACTGTGAGACAATAGGGGAGGGACATCTGCTTTCAAGGAGATCAGAGACGTGGCTGGGCTAAATGTAGTGTAACCTGCAAGAGGATTAATGTACACCACCTCTCAAGCAGATCTGGAGTTCTTTAAAAGAGTGTGGTGACCTATGCCTATAATCCCAGCATTCTGGAGGTTGAGGCAGGAGGACTGCCTCAAGTTCAAGGCCAGACTAAACTATATAGCAAGAGCCTCTCTCAAAACACACACACACACACACACACACACACACACACACACACACCCCAAAATAAAAACGAAAAGGAGGAAATTATACACATGAGATTTGCTTCAAAATATATTGGGATTGAGGAAATGCATGCAGATGAGCCATGATTAGTAAAGCTGGGTGATAGGTATATGGGTTCATGATGCTGTTTTCTCTGTTTTTGAATATATTCAAATTTTTCTCCAATAGAACTGCCTCAGACTCATAGCAATCCTCCTGCCATGGCCTTCCAAGTGCTGGGATTACAGACATGTGCCACCATGCCCAGCAACATTTTTAAAGGTGTGTAGAATGAGGCAGCATGTCTATAATTCCAGCACCCTGAGACGCTAAGGCAGGAGGACTATAAGATCAAGATCACAATTTAGTGAGACCTTGTTTCAAAAAATTAAAAAAGGACATGTGTGTAGCTCACTATGAAGGTTCTAATATTCAGTACAGTAAAAACAACAAAAAATGTGAATATAGAAAAGAATCTCATACTTCTAAAACCATGAGGGCTTGATGGAGTTTCAACAAAGGAAGAGAAAAGATCTTCAACAGTCAGTAGGAGCAGATGAGAGGGTAAGATAGCATCAAGGGGAACAGGGCAGGAAGAGGCATAGGGACTACGTGGGTGACAGGCTCAGGGGAGACAGATGCCAGAAAAGGACTGATAAATCTCAGGCCATGAACAAGAATAACTTCACGTTCTGACACCCCAAGGATAGTTAGAGGACCTATGCTGGATAACAGAAGGTAGCCCTTTGTGGTATGAAGGGGTCAGGGATAATATGGATTCTTAGCCTGCCCTGCTGGCAGGGAATGGGCACCTGCATCCAACAAGAGTGGGGCTGTATGGGAGAAATGCTGAGTCAGCCTCTCAGAGCTGGCTGGACTGTCTGCTAAACAGATCCCCAAGCCAAACACAAACCATAGACTCTGCTCATAGAAGGAGGTCAGTAGTTCTTGGGTTGTGACGTCTCTGGCAAGAAAACACTATTTTTATAAAGTTCTTGGGGAAAAGGAAAAATTCAATACCGAGAGAACTTGTTTAAAAGAATCCTATTGTATGTGGGTGATTCCCTAGCCCTGGGAAGCTAAAAGGACTGTTTTGTCTTAATGTTTCTTCAAATCAGCAGATGTCTGGATCTAAAACAATTAGGTATGTGCAAGCACAAAACCTTAGAAAAGCAGGACAGTACCTTTGTATTCATCTTATAGATAAGAAAAATAAGCTGAGAGAAGTACAGTAGCACATGGCTGTAATATCAGCTACCAAGGAAGCTGAGGCAAAAGAATTATAAGTTTAAAGCCAATCAGGTCAATTTAGCAAAGCCCAGTCTCACAAATTTAAAAAATACATAAAAAGGGCAGGGAATGTATTTTAGTGGTAGTAGTATGTGCCTAACATGCAAGGTCCTGGGTGTGTGTGTGTGTGTGTGTGTGTGAGAGAGAGAGAGAGAGAGAGAGAGAA